TGTAGCTTCAAGCTTGCAATAGTCATTTTTCAGTAACTGTAATGGTACAAGTTATCAACATCCCATTCGCCTGCATTTTTTTTGAGTCCTTCAGCATGCAACTCACTCACTTATGTGTCTGGTTTATCCTCAAGCAAGATGAAAACCCTTCTTGCTCTAATTTCCGTCATAGAACCAAGACAAGTGAAAATTGAAGGGTGTTTCTCCATGGGAAGAGGTCACACTTGGATGAATATGTGAGGTGGAAAGAAGACAGCCATGGACAACAGCCAGGATTTTGATTTGGGGAGGTAGAACCATTGCCAGAGATGCAAAGGTGGTATATGAACAGTATTTTCATGCTGGTGATGAAAGAAAGAAGTCACAGTTTGCCCTGTGACTCGGTGCTGAAGTGTCATTGTCCTTTGAAATAGCTCTCCTGACACACCTCTCTGCCCTCTGTTCTTGGAAGAGCACAAGTCTTCTCTGGATGAATCTCAGTTTTTTGATCTCTGAGAAGGAAGGTGTGGGACTCACATGCTCCTGGTGAGGGCAGCTATGATCTGTATGCCCAGGATGGGTAGGGCTAGTGTGGGTCCAAGGGGCACACGGCTCCTCTGCTGTGTGCTGTTATAGTGAAGGCTGATCATCCACCCATCTCCCACTATGAAAGTTCAGTCTAGGCCCTGACTTTTTTTACCTCCGATTTTACACTTCGTGTATGTGTAGTCAACTCTCACTCCCCAAAGAACAATCACTTACTCTTTTATTCTCGGGTCCTCAGCCAGAGAAGGGAAGGGACAGCATCCTTACTGCCCATGTGTCCACCCAGGATCAGCACCTTGTACTTAAGGATGCTGGCTTTCCCCATGAGGTACCAACCTCTTCCAAACCAGAGGTGACCCAGACATACTTCCAATGTAAATCCTTGAACCCATAAGCAACAAATTCATCTCCTTTCTCTTATAAGTTGCTTGAGTAAATAAATACTTTTATGCTTTCATAGACCTCTAGCCTGTTATGAAGAACTGGTCTCCATGGAAACATAAGCTGGTGCTTCCCCTAGGGACATGGGTAGAACCTGACCTACATCTGTCTACCAAAAAGTACAACTCTCACGTTGCATTGGTCCCAAGGCTGTATCAGTCTGACACATGCAGAAAGAATGAGCCTGTCATAATGCAGGATATGAATTGCATAGAAGCATATTACCAGGAGCATATGCACACATGCATACATGCATATATATATAGTTATATATACTCATGAACTCACATTCATACAGATATGCCTGTACACTTACACATATGTGCATACTTACTTATATACTTTTGTGTACATATATGCACAGAAACATGCACACATCTCTATATATACTCACACAGGCACATAGATACATTTACAAATATATGTGTATGTCCAAAAGACATATATGCCTATTCACATAAATATGCACACTTCCATGTATATCTATGCATACATGTGCATATATACACATGCACACATGTATCATATGCACATACCCTTGTATAAACACACAGGTATGTGAGCTTGCAATGTATGCAGACACAAGTACCTATGTAGGTGTGCCCACACCCAGGCATGCACACACATACACATGTGCACACACATATGTAAATGTCCAGGCAGATGTCAGAAACGTCATATCCCATTAGAGTACTGCACACAGAGGGTTTTCAATAACCCAGACACATTAAGTAAGCTTTGCCCTCCATGTCTCAGCAGCCTCTGGATTGGTTCCTCCACCCTCACCATAGTCTATGGGTGCTTGAGCCCCTGACACAGCATGGTGTAGTAATATGATGTAGAAAATGATGTAGAAAATAGCTGAGTATACTCTCCTATGCCTTTGAAATCTTCTCTCAACATATACAATACCTAATGCAATGAGATATTCTGTAAACAGTTACCAGGTTGTGTTGTTCAGGGAGAAATGGCAAGGGAAATATATCTGTCCATAGCCAACATAGCCACAAATTTAAAATTCATGAACACAAAAACCATGAACATGGAGGGCCACCTGGTCTATCAGTTTAGTCAACAAATACACAATAAACGATGATGTAATAGTGTGTATGAATAACTCCATTCATTTAATAGACTGTAGCTTAAATTCTTAATATCTATTCCTATAAAACAAGAAAATTACTTTTATATGATTAAGAATTGTATTCCACTAAAGGAGTCCTCAAGGATGGCCCCAGCTAAAACTCTAAACATCAGTGTGGAGAACCCCAAATTGGCCTTTCCCTGTAATCAGACTACTTAATTTTCATCATAGAACCTTCATCCAGAAACTGATGGAAGCAGATACAGAGAGCTACAGCAAAGCACTGGGCTGAGCTACCTGAGACTAGCCCAAGAGAGGGAGGAGTGATATTATGAGCAAAGGGTCAAGACCATGATGCTGATGCCCACAGAAACAGCTGACCTGAGCTAGTGAAAGCTCACTGACTCTGGACTGATAGCAGGCGAACCTGTGTAGGGCCAAATTAGGCTCAATGAATGTGGGGGACAGTTGCGAGGCTTGGACAGTCTGTGGGACGACTGGAAGTCATACCAGAATTTATTCCTAGTGCTTGAACTGGTATCTAGGAGCACATTCTTTTTGAAGGGATACCTTAATCAGCCTAGATATTGGAGGGAGTGCCTTGGTCTTGCCTTGAAGTGAAATGTTGGACCTTGTTGACTTTTCATGGGAAGCCTTACCCTTCCTGAGGAATGGATGGAGAAGTGGGGTGCAGGGAAGGTGGAGGAAGCTGGAGGAGAGGAGGGCATGGGAATGGTGATAGCAATGTAAAATGAGAAAAGATTGTATTAAAGAATTCTTAATAAAAAAAGAAAAGAGAATTATATTCCACGAAGTCCCCCAGTGAGAAAGTGACCACCTAGTTGGAGACTAACATCATTGTAGCTTTTATTATGGAAGAGTCTATATCGTCACTGTAGCTTTTATTATGGAAGAGTCTATATCGTCACTGCTGTGATTTATCAACAAAATGCCAGATGTGTTGCCATCACCTAGAACTGACTTGTGGCGTCATTGCTCTGATGCATGGGGCGGTTCTAGTTTCTGCAGGGAAGCTAATGGAATGTCCCTTACATAGAAAACAGTAAGGGAAGGGCCCATAGCTTGGAGCATTCTAGGGATCCTGGCAAATCAGGAACCTGAACGTCAGTCAGCTCAGGATGCCTCCCTCTCCCATGAGACTCTTGGGGAGATGGGTACCACTGAAAGCATCTCTTCCTTTTTTGATGGTGAGAAGACTGAAAATTGAGAGTCCTTCAAGTCTCATCTGGACCAAAACTATCTAAAAGGACAGTGAGTGAAAGATGGATCAGTACATACAGGAGGAGAGTGTGGAAGAGGAGTCAGAAGGTTGACATTGACAACTGGGTTGTGACCCTGAGATACAGAAGCCACTCCTGCCCAGCATATCTGTAGTTAGAGGCTTTCGAATTTGTAAGAAATTATGTTAATGTCCTTTCCCAACCAACATCTATCTTCTATTCACAACTTAAAGAGAATGAAGTTTGCTTCAAAGATGCAACCCACATATTCCCTCCAGCATTTTAAAACATCATTTCCTTCCTCCTTCCTCAAGTGTTCTTAATGTTTTTTTTTATTTTAATGGAATCTGAATAACCCTGAGAACCTTTGATTTTTATTCTACAGTTCCAAATGTCTAAGGGTTTTGAGCCCACTTCAATTTGACTAAGCCTCAGTCATAGGTTGACTAGTAGGCACAAATGTTCCTCAAAGATGAGCATACAATAGGAACATCCTCTTGGACAAAATTGTAGCTGTCTTTTTATAACTCGTCCTGTAGCTGGAAGTACTGAGAGCTATTTGGATCCAGTGTTTCTGGTTATTGTACAACACAGGCTTTATGAGCACATAACTTTCTGAGGCCTTCGCTACTAACGATCAGTGTTATTGTAGAAACTCTAAGGAGAAGTTTGGTTTAGATGTGAAAAGGATGAGTTAAACATCTTACTATTAGGTAAAGGATGTGTAAGGGTCACTGGGAGCCAGGATGTCACACACATATCCTCTGAGGTCTTTATTTTAGAAGAATGTTAGTGGGTTTGGGATAGGGGAATACATCCTGTGGTTCTGTGAATTTAGAATACGCTGCTTTCGGTGGTGATAAAAGCATCATACTGTAGGACAGTGCTGAGTGTACAGTCCTGCAGACATTCAGGAGCTCTCAGAGGAAATCTGAACAGGCAGCATTTGCTCATCTTCTTTGGCCAGATTACTTCCGTGTTTAGGAAAGTGCTGTCACCTTGACACAACCTGAGTCACCTGGAAAAGAAAACTTCAGCTGAGAAACTGTCCCTATCAGACTGGCCTGTGTGGCCAGGTCTGTGAGAGACTGTCTTGAGTGATGGTCAGTATGGGAGGGTTCAACCCTCTGAACAAAACTTTCCCTAGGCAGGTAGCCCTGAGCTCTGAAGAAAGCTAGCTTAGCATGGGTTGTAGGAGAGCTAGTAAACTGCCTTGCATTGCTTGACTTCCTGCTTTGAGCTCCTTCAGTAACTGAGCTGTGACCTGGAAGGGTAGACTGCACTAATTATTTCTTCTCCTAAGTTGATTTTGGTTGGCGAGCTCATGGCAGCAACAGACAACAAACTAGAACAGAACTGATACCAAGAGAAGTTGAGTATAATGATCTGACTGTGTCATTTTGTGGGAGGACTGGGGAGGCATTTGGAACATTGGGCTGAAAAAGCCAGTGCATACTCGACGCTTAATGAAGTAGTATTGTTGAAGCTAGAAAGACAATACTGAGAATAACACATACTATGAAGGCTTGAACTTTCATAGGAATGCAAATATGATATTAGGACTTCTAATGTGAAGTTTGGTTTAAATACCTGTAATTTCTGGTCATCTATGGCTAAAGAATATGCTGTGGTTTACAAAAGATCAGCATCATTGGGGTAAAAACCTGCAGGCAAATCCTCAGAGGCATCTCACAAGCTCTGGTCTAGGGATGCGAAGGTTGAATCTCAAGCTGATAGCTGAGCTGGGCAGTATGTAAGAGTCATCTACCTGGTACCACTTTTGACAGCATAAGAGGCACTACATTAGTAGGGACAATGAGAAAGGTTGAGATCAGATAGTATGTGGCATAGTTGGAATCCCTGAAGATGGACTAGGTACCAGATGGGTCAAGGTATAGCCTCAGTTGCAGCAGAGAACCCAGGATTGAAAGGATTATGGGGAAAACCTGAGGCTTGGCATCTTTTAGCAGGGTCAGGATCCCACTGGTAAAGTTGCAACCTTGAGTTGCCATGGAAACCCTAGGATACTAGATATGCCAGGCCCGTAAGACACTGACAAAGACAGCGGCAGGTGTGGAGTGAAGGCAGCCTGATACTATGAGACAAGCTGTGTGTGCTACAGAGGCAGAGCTGAAGATCTGGGGATGCCCAAGCCCCTGGAGCCCAGAAGATCATGAGTGAGACCAGGATGCTGGACATGGTATTATTTGTACTGCTAGAGCTTGACTTTGATTTGATTGCTTTTATGTTCCAACTTTGACCTTTTAGAATAAGAAAATACATAACTTAAATTTTTACATGAGTCTATTGATTGAGATTTTGGGTAGTTTTTTAAATAAAATTTTAAGAAAATGGAGAGCTTGTGATAAAGCAATATATCAGGAAACTAAGGGCTCAGTGGGTAAAGTCTTTGCTGAGCAAGCCTAAGTGTAATCCATAGTACCTCCACAAAAAGATGAGCATAATGCCAAGTGCCTTTAACCCCGGCACCTAGAAATGGGGCTAAGACGATCCCAGATGCTTTCTGCCTACCCTGTCTAACCAGTCAGTGGGTTGCAAGTTTAGTGAGAAACCTTGTCTCAGATTGTCTCACAATATATAGTAGAAAGTGACCTCTGGTCTCCACAGCCACACATGAGAGCACAAATACTCTCACACACATTATCTTGCACAGGCACACACACTCATGAGAGAGAAGGAGCTATACAGCAGTGAGATGGATAATTAAAGGGTGTTGGTTTGAATAGGAATGGCCCCCATAGACTTGTGTTAAAGCTTGGCAGGGTGAGAGGGACACTATTAGTAGGTGTGGCCTTGTGGAAGTGGGTGTGGCCTTGTGGGAGTAGGTGTGGCCTTGTTAGAGGAAGCATATCACTCTGGAGGTGGATTGAGGTCTCCTATGCTCCAGCTGGGCCTAGTTCTGTTACTTGCTGATTAGGGTGGAGAACCCTCACCTCCCTCCCCAGCACCATGTCTCCCTGCATGCTGCCATACTTCTCAGTATGATGATAATGGACTAGACCTCTGAAACTGTAAGCCAGTCCCAGTGGAATGTTTTACTTTTTAACAGTTGCCATGGTCATGGTGTCTTCTCATAGCAAGAAAACCCTAACTAAGAGACTAAGCATCATTCTCACATATGAACCTCAGGAGTAGAACACTGAGAAATGAGAGAGAAAAAGTTCCAGAGGAGTTGGTATGAACCTGTGTGCAGGATTTCCACCAGCATACAGCATTGAGCCTTCTGGGCACTTGCTACTGGAAGGCAGAAAATCCTGGTGATCAACTAGAAAAGCAAGGAACTGTAGAAAGATATTCAGGAAAGTCATTACCGGAGTGTGGGCGAGGGTTGGGGAGGGCGGTCCCAGCTGCACAGTGATCCCATTGGTATGTGCATAATGGCAGGAGCAGCTTCACTACGCTGTTCTTGGCATGCTGGAGATACCCAGGAGTCTGTGATCCAATATGCAATGAAACCCTGTGAGAGAATGGTAGTGAAGAAGCTAGCTTCTTCCCTTCCCTGACTCTAAGAAGAAGCAGGACCACCAAGGGGGCTAGTTCTCATATGACCTCTTCTCCCATCTTATCTAATAACTTGGTTATTAGTCTTGTTTCCACGGAGTAGTTGGTGAAAATCATTGTGTGAGATCATTACGCTCTAATTGCATCCCACTGAGCAGACCTGACATCTGACACAGCCCCGACTCACCGTGAGGTCCTTGATGTTGGCACTAGCGCTCCCCAGTCCCCTGTGTCTCCTCGGTGACACTCATTCTTCTGTCTCCTGTTCACCCATGCTCCTCCATCATCTTAGAAACCCTTCAGCCACACAGTTGTTATTGTTGCTGTTTTGGCTGCTTGTTTTATTTTTTATTTTTATATATTTGAGACAGGATCTCTTGTGTCTCAGGGTAACCTCCTGACCTCAAACTCATCATGTAACCAAGGACAACCATGGACATTTTTTGGTCCCCTAGTCTTTACCTTCAGAGTGCTGGGATTACAGGCATATGCTGTCGTTTTGGATTTATGAGGTGTTATGTATGCTAGGCAATACTCTACTAACTCCGTTACATTTCCCAGCTCCACTCTCCTTTTAAGTTGTATTTTCTATTTTTTTGTTGAAGTGAATTTATTTAACTAGCTGCAAATGAATATAATTATATATATCCCACTCATGTATAACTGAATATAACACACTATATATAGATATACGTATATACAAAAGAGTGTTACAGAATTCACTAGTCAAACGCAAAGGCTGCCCATCAACTCCACAACCTTGGCATTGCAGGAACAGAGATGTCAACTCACCCCAGCTCCTCACATCAATAGTAACTTTCCACTGTTGTAGATAGAAGTAAGAAAGGCAGGGCTCAACAGGAGGAGAAACTTTAGACTTTGGGTCTTTGTGTGTATCATCTAATTGTGAGAGCACATGGTTGCTATAGAAATAGGACCTCGTCACTTCTTTCCTTGGGCTGTCAAGTTCCATGGGGTGATAGAGTCCAGACCCCTGCATGAGTTCTGGGTTCCTAGGCATCTTTCCTGCCTGGGTGGGTAGGGAGGCAGCTGCCCACGTGGCATGATTTCAGGGGTGGGCTTCAGTGACTGCTAGCAGGAACATGACACCCCGCCTAGTGTTGTCTCCACAACCGCTATGCCTGTGCAACACAACCTGCAAACAACTTGTTGGAATCCTTTTACTTCATCATTTCCCACTCCTCCTCTTTCTGCCTCCTTCTCTTCTCCCCACCCTCATGTACATATATAGGTATATACATTTAAACATATGAGTATAACCTGCTCATTCTGTTTAATGTTGTTTATATAAATGTTTTCAGGGCTGACCATTGAGTCAGGCCTTCTCACTGAACACAAGACTACCTTTTTACCTAGACTGGGTGGCCGGTAAGCATCCTCCTGTTTCTACCTCCCCAGTACCAGTGTCGCAACTGAGTGCCACTGCATACTTTGGTTTTTGACATGGGTTTCTGGAAATTCTGAAGTAAGTCTTCATGTTTGGACAGCCAGCACTGTGGCCACGGAACCATCTGCCCATCCTCCTTTCCTTTTCCCTTTCATGATTCAGGTTTTACAAAAATAGAAAAGTATAATTGATCATCTTTCCTGGACAGTAGCCTGTGGATCCATGGCGCCTCTGATAAGACTGACATCTGGCCCACTCTGCAGTCACTGGGAGGGGTCACATCAGGGCACCCTTCCAATTGAGTTTTGCCCCAGGTTGAGATTATAGGTCTTCCATTAAATTATTTAACTTGTGATATGTGACATTATTAATTATTGTTAAATGGCAGATTAGAAGGGAATGTGTGGATAATGTATACTAAGTATAATATGGTAAAGGTGATATTTAGAATTTCATAAGTGGCCAAATTTCAATAAGATTTTGCTAGGATTTATTCAACGTGAGCTTGGAAGCAAAGTTTATGCCCTTGAGTCCTCCCTCAAAGAGGACCCCTTTTCTTATGCTCCAGGAAAACATCTGGGGCACTATGCCAATGCTGAGCATCTCACCCTAGAGACAGCAGCCACCCCAGCATGTGTGGACACCTGGTTCTCCGTCACCTGACCAGCTGTTGTTTGTTCTTATACAGCATCCATCGCATCCACCTGCAATGACCCTGGGATGCCTCAGAATGGTACCCGCTATGGTGACAGCCGGGAACCTGGAGATACCATCACCTTCCAGTGTGACCCTGGATACCAACTCCAAGGACAAGCCAAGATCACCTGTGTGCAGCTAAACAGCCGCTTCTTCTGGCAGCCAGACCCCCCTTCGTGCATAGGTACTGGGCCCGGGAAATGGAACTGTCACGCTTGGAAATGAATGTAGCCTAGTCTCTGAATCGGCCTGCTAATGTTTTGTTTCTTCAGGAGGACGTTTCAGGAACTTCTTAAATGGCCTCAGGCTCTCTGAGACAATGCTGAAATTTTATTGCAAACCTTTATTTTATTAGATGAACTAAAGGATGTGATTTCCTTAATGTACAGTAATTGACATTTATCTAACATTTCTGTCCTTAGGAGTTCTTATGGAAATATATATCAACCAAGCCTGTGCAACTTAAAATATTACGTGGCTCAAAATTTATAAGGCCACCACTGCTGGCCTGCTTTTTAATCTAAAGCACACATTCAAGCAAAACCTACTATTGCAATGCTCCTTCTCTTTTCAGAAGTATGTTTTTCTATAATATCTGTACCTTTTAGATAGAATCCTGAGAAGTAGAAATTATATTGCCTTTGGGGAAAATGAAAATAGAGAAGAAAATTGTGTGCAACACTAATTAAAATTCCCTGTCCAGCTTATTAATGTAGCAATAAATGGCTTTGGCAGCTATGATCTCAATAAACATCTAAGGTCTTATTAGACATCTAAGATGATCTTTCACAAATACGATTTTAGGGAAATAGATTCTCATATAAAATAAGAATCATATGCAAATTGTCCTTCATTCTGTTAAATATTTTAACATAAAATACCTATTTATAAAATACCTATTTAAAGCATTCAGTTGTAGTTCCAAAATGACATTTAACTAAACTTTATATTTTTAATGAACTATTTAGCTTAGTTGGTACTTCTAGATCTTCTACTTGAAGGTGTAAAAATTAAATTGATCTGTGACAAAAGGCTGTGTGAGGGAAGCAAGGGACACACTCATGGCCTTGAAGACAGATGAGATTCAGATTTGAGGGCTCTGTTCATCAGCATCTGGCCTAAAGGAACACCAACCCTGTCTCGTAGGCATCTCTGTTCCTTCATCTTCCTCACCTTTAAGCATGGCCGGTTTTTCATTGCCCGCCCTGTTCAAAGGTGACTCCTGACACTTTGAATATTTTTCAAAATAGAATAAATGCAGCTGTCCTTGTGAACTTTTTTCTTTTTACTTTGTGAAGGTTGCTGAAAGTGGAGCTTCTCCTTCTGCCTCTTATCAGCTGATGTGGATGTGTGTATCTATGTTGTATGTACATGTCCTTAGATGAGTTGTATGTGTATTTTGTGTGCATCTGTGTGTGCTGTATACATATTTCTGTGTCTGATTTTTATGTGTCCATGTGTTTGTTTTAGTTGTTATGCATTGTTATGTATACATCTGTATTATACATGTCTGCCTATGTTGTCTGAATGATTTAATTTTCTTCCATTTTGTACCTTTAATCTCACAAAGGGAAACATTAAAAAGGAATTCTAAGTTAATCTCTTAAAGACAATTTAACCTTTCTACGTTCAAGGGGTAATTGTAAAATTTGGCCACTTTCCTTGATTCCCCATACCTTTGACATAGCCATCTCTCAGTTACCTAATTTGTAGCAAGAGCTCAAAAACCCACAGCTCAGCACAAAGCCCCCGTTGTCCTTCTGGGTCCCGAGCAGCCCTTCCAAGGGCAAATGGAAATCCTTTGCAGCAATTGAGTAGTCAGGTGTTTGAGGGCCTGGGCCAGGTTACCCAGATAGATGTTCTGTGACAGAAAGACAGATGCCATTCCGTCACTGCACCGTGAATTTCACCTGTCAGAAGTGAGGGTTGTGTCCCCTGCAGCGTATTTCCAGACTGATGCCTCAGCTGACTGTGAACGAGCTCCCATATAAATCCTTTACTCAGCAGGCAACATTTTTTAAAACTTTTTTTCTCATTTGGAGATAATACACGTTCATTGCGAGTGCTTTATAAGCTATAACAAAGCAAGAAGTGAAAAGAGATGTCTTTTTAACTGGAAGCATTTGCTATTAACATCAACATACATCAATAAAATTCATAAGCATATGTATAGATGTTGCTTTAAAATAACTATAAACATGTCCTGCCTGAACACTGACGTAGCAGTATAAGGTGTTTGGGGTGCTCTTTTGTTTTTCCACCGGATTCTTAGTGATGTGGGTTATCTGAGCACAGCTCCCTCTCCTGATACCAGGGACACTGTCTAGTCTCTCGTCAGTGCCGTCTAATAGTGCTGCACCCATCTTTTCTGTACAAGTGCACAATGAAGTTCCTTTTTATGACGTCATCCATAATAGAGCAGCCTCTGTAAAGCATCTGTGATTGGAGAGCAGTGGTGTCTTTCTTCAGAGGTAGCTCTCTAAGACACAAGACCCCCCAAAAGTTCATTTACCGCAACTTTGCTTGTCATTAGCCATGTTTGCTTACTTGCCCTAATCAGAAAAAAATCACAATTTAGGAGGGTTCTTAACCTTATTGTGTGGGCAGAAAGTGATAAAATATTCTTGTCTAATTCACATTCTAGATTAGATATGGGTCTGAACCTTATCTTTCCATTTGATTGCTGGTTGGGTGATTTGTTTTTTGTTTGTTTGTTTGTTTGTTTGTTTGTGGCTGGTAGGGTGGTTTTGTGCTGTTTTTTGCAGACTGGCTAGCTACCATTCTATTCATTTCCCCACCATCAGTGTGCTCTGCCCCCTTTGGTGTACCAGCTCCTTTTTTGCTTCATGCTCCCCTGACATGCCACCAGCTCCTCATGACACATCTAACATGCATTTTCCAGGCTTTGCTGATAATTTCCTCAAGATCTGCATTATTATCTCTCTTCTTTTTCTTTCTGAAAGCCCCCTGAAAAAAGGAATGTCTCTTTTGAACTTTTATAGTTTAGCTGTCGGGTATGTGTGTGTGTGTGTGTGTGTGTGTGTGTGTGCATCTATCTGTCTGTCTCTGTCTGTATGTTATATGTGCATCTCTGTGTTTGTCTTTGCATGGTTTTGTGTTTGTGTGTGCTGGGTGTTACATGTATATGCTTGTGTGTTGTGTGTGTAAACATACATGTATGTATGTTATGTGAGGGGTGTGGGAATACATGCGAATCTGTGGTTGTGCTCACCGCTGCATGTGTGTACATGTGGAGCCTAGAAATCAATATCAGGTATCTTCTTTAACCATCTTAGTTTCTGAGACAGAGTCTCTCTGAGGTCAAACTGGAGTTCATCAGTTTGGCTAGACAAGCTGGATAGCAAGGCTCTGAAATCCACCCATCCCCATCCTCCTATACCATCGCTGGGAGTAACTTGGTTACAGCCATGATCAGCTTTATCCACGGATCCTGGGGAAGTAAATTTGAGTCCTCATCCTTGTACACTGTGTGCCTGACTCATGAGCCTTCCCTTCAGCAATATAGCCGGGTCTTCAGGCGTGGGGTCTCCAAACTAGAGCACAATGAATTTTTATAATCAGAATAGCATGCTCTATCCCTCAAAGCCCTCCAGTTTCACTTGGTTTAGTCTTTTTTTTCCTGGGGTCCAAATTCTACAGTGCTCTAAAAAGCATCCATTTATCTTCGATCTGCACACGTGATTTGATGACCAGAGAAGGCTCCTACCTGCAGGGCAGGATGACTGGTTAGAGGCTCCCTGGATGGTGTGAATGCCTCAGTGTTGTGCGCAGGAATGCTGGCTGTCTCGTTAGAGTGACTGCGCACGAGCTGAGTGGGAACCGACCGTGTGGAGAAGTTTCTGGCACAGATGGGACTGAGCGTGCTTTTGTGGACCCAAAGTCCAGGTGGAGTTGCTAGAGCCTCTGAACTACATCTTCTAAACTCGAATTCTAGCGAAAAGGTTTTATGAGCTCTCTAATTAAAGCCTAATGAAGCACAAATGAAGGATTCCAGAACCAGAAAGAAGGGTGCTACTTAACACCACACAGCGTTAACAGCTTCATTTGGTGGAGCTCCTGGGACCAGCAGGAAGGACTTGATTCCCCTGTTGTTTCCGACAAGCCAATATTTGAGTCACACTCTGAGCAGCCCTCTGTGACAGTGCCCCAAATCTGTCCTAGTTCCTCTCCCAAGTCCAGGGTAGAGTTAGAATCTACCTGGCTTTCAGGCACCTCTAGTTCCGCACTGCTATGCCAGTATGGCAGCTCTCTCAGATCTGACTTCTTATCCCAGGTTCTGTAAGCATCCGTCATGATGGGTGATGGGGGAACAACTCTCAGTGAGGGTAATACAGGGACCACATGATGATGACCACGTAGTTACTAAGATGAGCTGCTTGCCAACAGATACAGGCCTTCATCATCTGTCAACACATCTCGTGTAACTTGAGTGCACTCTCATGGTATTCAGAGTGGCATTGATCAAACTGAGTTTATTGTGAAACCCGAGGATTTCATTGCATTTCTTGTTTTGAAAAATTGGATTTTCAGGAATGTTCAGTGACTGCTTAATGACCTAACCGTTACTGAACACTGTGAACTTCTTCCTTCCACCCTCTTTAATCTTATTTACTCAAAGCAAATCTTTATTTGTAGAGGGGGGGAAAGGGATGACCAATTAGGGTATTTTATTATTTATTTATTTGCAAATATGCATATGTATTTATATTGTCAATGATATGAAATGTCTGTAATTTAAAAGGAATGCTGTAGTTTACTTAGAATGATATTTTGAAACAACTTGGTCACAAGCCCCAGAATTTGCCCAAAGAACCATGGAATCTCTGACAGCATCAGCACCCTAAATATGTGACCTTATAACTGCAGTGTTTGAACAGTGCCCATGTGGTAAAGATCTAATAGGAATTTTATTTAATACTTAGAACAGTACTAAATATCTTCAGATTCTAGGAACCAAAATTATCGCACTTGATCGCAATGCTAAGCCATGTGGTCAATAGCCACCTGGAGTAGATGTGAACTCAGGCAGGTCACAACTAGTGGCTGCGAGGCTCATTCGATCCTTCCAATACAGAGTTTTAACAATAGTATTGAAGCACTATGATCATGCCTTCTCTCTAGGGGCAAGGGTTGCAACTCATTATGGCCTTCCCTCAATATCATATAAATGATCATTGTTTGCTTTGTTGTTTTGATGCAGTGGGGAGAGAAACCCAGCCCCAAACGGTGTGACCTTAAACTGTTTTGTAATCACTTATCAAACAGCTGGTCCTTGATTGCTTATGATGAACTGTCCTGGAGGTTAGATGCTCAGAAAGAAGGCAGGTTGATCATTATATCACCGAAAGTCTGTGTTCTAGAGGGTTCCCTGACTATGTAAACCGATGAGAAGTGGCAGCAACATCATTGGGATCAAACTGTAACATTCAAGAAGGGTTTTATATCAAATTTTAGTATAAGTGCAAGCATGCATGTGTAGAGGGTGTGTAGGTTAAGCAGACTGTTCAATTTATTTGAATAAGACTTAAGTAATTAAAGGACGTTTTATTTGCCAGTTATAATCATGTAAAGCGTAGCTGGGGGTGTAGGCTCATACCTGTAATCCTTACACTTGAGAGGCATGAGACTCACCATGGTTTCAAGGCCACCTTGAGCTACAGTGTGAGTTCCAGGACAGCCTGGGCTATAGAACCTGCCTTAAAAATAGATGGGTGGGTAGGTAGGTAGGTAGATAGATAGATAGATAGATAGATAGATAGATAGATAGATAGATAGATAGATAGATAGATAGAT